AGGACGAAAGACTGTACACGCGTACGATGCTCATGACGGCATACAAAGATGCTCCTGATGCCATAAAGCTAGATGCTCATGAAGCTCCGAGAACCCCAGACCCTGGACCCCAGGAGGCTGGTTGAGGTCCAAGTCGAGTTAAATGAGAGAGCAAGGTAGGCACATGGGGGGGGGGGGGAGGGGGGTACCATATATATATATATATATATGGACCCTTTCCTCCCCTTTGGCCCTCTAGAGAGCCTGGGTCTTCACGAAGCCGCCATGCCCCAAAATCCTGGTCATGCACCCTGAATTCGCAGCAGGAACTACTGAAAGTATTTTCTTGGGTTTAGGTTTTAGGGTTTAGGGCAGAGTTGTTTACCTGCCCAAGTCTCCAGACAGGCGTGCAAGTGTCATGCCTGCTCCCCAGCTGATAGCAAAGAGCCTGGGTTCAAAAAAAGGGTTTAGGGCTTCGAGCATGCGTAGCATGATACATCCATCTCCGAAATTTTGATCGGCACCTACCGCCACGCCGAACAATTGCAGGAGCTGAAGTCCCAAGGCGGTCTTCATGGCTTGATGATTGACCCCTACAACTGCATCGCTTCGCACTTGCATTGGGCTTTTCTGCCTGGCCTTTCGATGTCAAGTCTGGGGTAACTCGACACTCTTCCCTCCGACTATACTATGCTATACTATGCCATATTCTTAGTGTTATCATGATTTTCGTGGTTATATGTCTCATGAATGGCATGAAATCCGGAAGAAGCCTAAACTTTTCAACCGTTCGTCTGGCTGATTCCGAGTGGCGAGAGCGTAAATCCTCAAAGCCCCAAACCCCGGCCTTAAACCCTAAATCCTAATCCACAATGTCCTTTTCTGAAACCCTAAACCCTTAAACAACCATTTTGATGGTCAAGTTTGTAAGCCCATTTCGGCGGTTCCTTATTACAAATGTAGTATAATGGACCACAAAACCCTATTCCAATTGTTAAGGCCCCTATATTAGCTTGAACCATTCAGGATTTTCAGCTGTGGGGTTTGGGGCTCTGTTTGGGCCACTTCTCTCCACGGCTAGGTGCTGAAGATCAAGGTGATGCTGACAGTGAGTGAGCATAGTGCGTGTTACGGTTTTCGTGACGAAGATGAAAATAAATGTAGATATGATCGTTGTCATCGCCATCGACATGATGCTGATGAGTGGTGATTGCGATGCAGAGGCGATTAACCATGTTTCTCATCATTCTGCCGGGTGGAATTAACGTTTGATGCCGTTGGTGGTGCTGATGATAAGGAGGAGGATAGCTGTGCTACGGCTGAATTGAGCATTGAGTGTTCGATCCAGTTGTCACGCCTACCTGCACTTCTACAGATTCTGCGGCTATTGCGCACTCCTTGCCATTCCTTGCCTGGTTTGCCGCTTCTGCGACGACGACAGCGACAACCACTAGTTACCTCGCCTAGACGGCCGCTGCTGCTGCTGCTGCTGCTGCTGCTGCGTAGGACGGCTTCCTAGTATCACGATCACGACGGGGACTGCCATCGGCAGACAAGTGGCCGGACTCGTGCTGATCAACAGAAGCAATGTTATCTATCGCCATATAGCCGATAGAGCCCACAGCATTGGCAAATCAACCTCTCCGAGGAGATGCCTGATGGATTTCTCCCCGAGACACAAGTTGTCAGCACGATGATGTCGAAGCTTCAGCAGCTGCTAGGCTTCGACCCAGGTTCGATGGTTCCGCCGACCGAGGATGGTTTAAAGATCTGCCTAAGCCCAGAACCCTCCGAGCTGGTGAGCCTCAAATTCCCTTAGCTGACGATGGCACCCTTAACCGGCTGTAGTACCAGGGTTGGAGTTTAGAGCCTGCCACAACCCACAAAACGTCCTACAGCTCGTGTACCAGCATTCTGCATACTAGAATTGTGTTGGGTTTGCGTAAGAGTTCCGTATTCTGGACAGAGGTCCTGCTGTCCTTATTTGCCAACGGATCGGGCCTTCACTGCAGGGGTTTCAAAACTCTCGGCGGGTCGATCTTCCAGGAAGGACGCTTCGGAGGACACATGCGACTTGCCATATTGGGTGGCTGTTACCACAGGGTCCCTGTTGCGTTCCCTTTTTATAGGGTGGTGCCGTATTAAGAACGCATGTATATAGCATTCCCCAAAGGGACCAGGATTGTGACAGCTACTCATATGTAGGGCTGACGGCCACCCTCTGCAGAGCCTCGCACATGAGACCGATGACCTCGAACCACTCTGCCCGTTGATTTCAATGCCGAAGCCGGCAGAGACGTGGTGGGTTTCTTGCACCTCTAAGCCTGTAGAAGGGCCTCAGGATTTTGTTCGGCTTGTCGTTCTTCAGCGCTCGCCAGATATGGCGACTCCCTGCAGAGATCATGAGCCACGTAGTTTCAACATGTCAAACTCTGAGCCCTTTGAACTCTAGAAAACCAATCGTCAGGTTTGCGAAGAAGTACTCCACGCACGTGTGGATCGTGGTCCATCCCACGAAGGGCTCGCAACTCGCGGGGAACGAGCCGTCGATGTACGACTGTTCCGGCAGCGCGCATTGGCGCTTCGGCTTGTAATGTGCCGTTGCAGGAGTCAGGGCCAAAAACCCTAAAGCGTTGCAGGAGTCGGGGCACTCATTCCTAAATTCGGGCCATTCGGGTTGCTCCTGAGAGGCTGGCCGCTTCGGTTTTGCTTACAGAGAGCTTTGTGGACACTTTGCAAAAAACAACAGGACTGGTGTGAGAGGCCAGTTCTGCAACACTTAGCTAATTAGCTTGATTTCTGGGCGGCAAGGCAGGAGCTGGACAATTGTGTAGAAAATGCTGGTCTTCGCATTCAAAACCGATCTAACACAGCAACCAATCCTTGACCAGACTCTGTAATTGGAGTCTCAACATATATAAACCCAGCTCCGTTGCCTTTGCTGTTCTCTGGGTTTTTCTTCTGGCGTGCGGAGCTTCACCCCGAAGACACCCGCCAAGAGATGATATCAATGAAATTACTTTGATTTTGGTTATATTCTTACTGTCAATACTAATAAAGATGTTAATATTATCGCTTAGGGTTCAGGGTAACATAAAACCAGTAGCCCAGTTTCAAAGTCTCGCTGTGCACGAGGCCATGTAGCGGTCGATGGTTTTGCAAACCCTGGACTCATAAGCCGTACCCGAAACCCTACACCGTAGCTCAACAGGTTCAACAAGTGTGACAAACCCAATACCGTAGCTCCCTAAAACCTGAACCCCTGAACTCTAAACCCCTGAACTGTGGGCATCGATCCCAGCCATGCGAGAGGGAACAAACCCTGAACCGCTAAACCCTACCCATAGGCCCCATAGTAGTTCCTTTTTGGGGGTTACCTTATAGGATTCTGAACATGAACCCCAAAATGGAACTACTATGGGGCCCATGGGTAGACCACAGGTTCAACAAGTGTGACAACGGGATCATCGTGAGACGGCCCTATGCAAAGAGTTGGGCGCAGCAGACACAGACTTCGACTGGCAGCTCCCGCCAGGCCAACCAGCGTCCTGCAAGGGCTTGCTACATGCGTCCTACAAATTAGTCTTACTGTTATATTCCATCTAGATAGGTTTGTAAGTTTGTGTGTGTATATGTATATATATATATATGTATGAGCATAAACATAAAGAATCAGTTTTAAATATATGAACATATGTATATGTGTGTATGTACGTATGAGTTCAATCAAAGCTTTGGTTTCGGGATGCCTCCGAGATTTGTTCACTCGGTTGCTCGGAGGTCGTCGTGGTAGTGGCGATCGACACAAGCTCGGCACAAGTTTCGGAGGTTGTAGAGCTCCAGGCTGTTTTGTATACATCCCGCTATTATAAAAAGGCAGTTGATCACGTAGTACCGTAAGCGGAACCCTACCGAATGTCGGAAATCTTTCACGCACTTGCTCGAAGCGGGTTCGACAATGCTGTGAGCCTGATCGGGTTAAGGCTTTCAATATGGCAAGAGCGATTGGGCTAGACAAGTTGTACGTGGTTGCATCGGTGGCGTCTGGGGCCTGCCAATCAGCACATACAGTGTTGTCATTCCAGAAACAGGTCCAATAAATACCTACTGACGAAGAACAACAACGTTCCACAAACATCAGTCATAGAACTCTCGTGCCGTTAACCCTTAACCCAGCCGAACCGGACTGCTCATTGTGCAGGTTGACATTAAGGTGGACAAGGTCCGCAACTACTATGCCGGCCAGCTGGGGACAGCGAAGCTGATTTTCAACCCCAACACACGGGGTTATGAAGAGCTGCAGATCAGTGGTTGAGGCTTCTGTAGGTTTTAGGTTTAGGGTCAAACCCTACAGGTTCACAACCCTGAGTCTGATGGTGGCTTGCCACGCGAGCCCCAACAGCATCCAACAAACCGAAGCCACTTCCCCACGAAGCCAAGGTCTGGAACATTCTACCATGCCACACCTACAGTTCCGGAAGTCTTAAACCCAATCCTAAGCACCTGACCCCTAAACCCTCCAACTCACAACTCAGGCATCTCGCCTAAGCCATGGCCCCTCAAGGCCTACAGGCTCCCAAGCCTATCACTCCAAGATCGCGTGAGGGTGGACCCCCAAGAGCCCAAGAGCACCTAGCGGCACAGAAGCGATTTGCGTGGCACTGCGGGGGGGGGAGGGGGGGGGGGAGATTGCGAGATTGAGATGTGAAGACCTGGGACACACCGAGGAGTAGCCAGGAGCCGAATTGTGCCTGGCCCTGCTACGTAGGCCACAACCATCACGAGGGTAGTTGTCAAAATTATGGTCCCTTTTAGGGTACCCTGAATAATAGGTGCCGTATTATAATAAGGATCCAAAAAGGGACCATAATTTTGACAACCACCCACGAGGCTTTAAAGCTAAAATCCGGACGTTTAATGCCGGATCCAGTGGTATGTGGAGTATCGCAGATTCACTAGTCATGTACCCTGCATCGTAGCAACAAAGCACAGAAGCCCGATTGAGCATCTGTCCAAATTAGTTGTCCAAATTGTCTCTCAGCTGTTACGCCATGATGACGGTGAGCTTGACATGGCCGGATGTGGCTAAAGCTCTAAGTCATCCGCGATGAGGGCATGTAAAAGGAGCCTCACAAGCGCACATTGGGCTTCCGCAGGTGGAGCCATAGTTCTTGGGGTCAAGTTTCCAACGACTTGGAGGCACAAATTCAGTGATGGTCAAGTTTATCATGAGCCAACTTGTTCGATTTAGTATGTTCATGGGTGTACTTGCATACAGCACGTCTTCATGGACGAGCTAAAATGCCCGGAATGGGGACTTGGACCCAAAACGCGATTCGGGCTTCTATAACATGCGACGACCCATCAATACGGCCCTGAGCAGGATTATTTGCTTAGGGTTAAGGGAGTTAAGGGGTTTAGTGTCCAGGATTTACGGGGTTAGGGAGGCTAAATCTCACAATGCCAAAGGCCAGATTAAGACACAAAGCCTCCAAGTCGGCCGGGTTATGTGGCAGAGCTGGAGAAGCATTCGCAGCCGTTTCCACTACACTGTTGTCCTTCATCCTGTTTCAAGTAAGATAGAAGCCTAAAAATGCCTACCTCATTCCGTGGGGTTTCTTATCATGCTGATACTATATTACCCCAAAACCCGTTCTGATTGGCAAGGCCTACATCAAGCGAGACTCCAGGTCCTTGCAGGAGAGCCTCCTTGAAATTGCTGTCTGTAAGCGAACGTTGCATCCTCTGAGGAGGATCCAACAAACTGTTTCTCTAAGCGATTCTGCCGTGCGAAGAACTCAATGGGGTAATTAGCGCACGCATTTTGCCGGACTCTCACTGGGGTAGTCTGGATGCGCGTCGCGGGACGACTGCGGGGAAAAATGCACGACGGCGTTTCATGCTTTGGTTTTACCGTTGCTTACGCTCCAGTTTAGGGGTGTGGCAACCCCGAGGCCCAATCTGTACGAATAACGAGAGAAGGGAGCCTAGGGTAGGGTCGCCAATGTGACAAAATCTGTGAGCATTACTGCCGTGTAATTTTCGTCTTGAGCCATTGGAGTCTTTGATGCTTTTAAACCTTGCACGATGGTGCTGATGTTCTTGACTTGGTCACTACTATTCACTTCAGGTTGGTATCGTCGGTCTTGTGATGGAACGTCTTACCAGGACTAGCCGACTAGCCGACTTGTTGCATAGTGCGCGATATCGTGAGATAAGGACCTTTCCCCGAAAAATGGACCCCGTATTTTCCCCCTTCTCGCCGGGCTGCTCAGGCTTGTGTGAATGTTCCGGTCGCATGGATTGGGGCATAGGGTTTGGGCGTGGCTTTACATACTTGACTTGCTAGAAGTCGCTTTTGGTTGTCACATCCCGGACGTTGGCAATGTTAGGCCCTCGGGAAGGACTCTTCACACACGCCTGTTTTTGGCATTTAGTGCTGAGGCCGCCTGCTGTGACAGCTTGTGATGATGGTATTCATGGATGAACAAGGTATTTGACGATGTTATGCTCTTAGATCTACTTGTGCCAATTATCATCAAATCTTGATAATGCCGCTGCGAGAACGGAAATGTCACTTGTGATGGTGACAACAATGGTTCGATGGTGATGGCGATGATGATGCTGATTGTGGTCGATGGCTTCCGTGCTCTAGTTTTGGAAAGATGCCGACTGAAGCTGTTCCGGACGATTACATCAGGAAGGTTCAGTCTAAACACAGCCTTTGGCTTCGTCAACGTGCTGCTGTGCACAGATGCAGCTGCTCAAATGCTTGCGATTGTCGAGGCATGCGGATGAGATGAGGCGAAGTTCGACGAAACATGGTTGTGAAGCGATTAGATGAGCCACGCGTAGCCTAATTTGATTGACGACGGCTATTCCACTTCAGTCCAAACTCTGCGCTTGCCTTCAAGCTAACATCTCCGCTAAGCTTAATCAAGCTTTGCAGCTGATGATGCTTCTATCTAACTTATATACCCAACACTGCCAGCACGCATGTTGAGGACTGTGCAGCAACAATTGCACAAGAACGAGAAAACTGGAAGAAAACAGGCTTGCCTGTCGGATACCCCTTTGAGCCGGCGCAAGCGTGGGGTGAAGATGATGCCCGTCTGTGCAGCAGTTCAGTTTTTTCAATGCCATGTGACAACTCTGGCTGTGGTAGCATGCCGGCCACAGCAACGAAGCCGATTAAACAAAGGTGCGAGCAGGTAGCACTAGTCACTAGATATCGCATTAGTAGTTCGCAGCAATTAGCAAAAGGATTTGACACTGCTTTGCTACTGCTAGTGCTCGGCGACGATGACGAATTCTACTGCTACTGTTGATCCCCTCTCTCGAGAACTATAGTCTCAATGCAGTTATCAGTTCGTGCCTCCTGCTGTTCCTACGATTCCGTGTTCGACCTTAAGACGACTGATGACGACTGCAACCACGACGACGGGCGACGACAACGATTATCACTGCAACTACCATGTGCAACAGCACCAGCACCAGCTCTACTACCATTATACTGCTACCTTCGAGACTTTATTCTGCGGTTTTCATTTTCCATGCGGCTGAGCCGGAGATGTCAGGCCGTGCAAGATCCCGAAAAGTGTTGGGGCGAGTTGGCTCCACCTGCTGTTTGCCGTTTCGGACATTGTGTCCAGTTTCTTTGACTACAGTAGTCACTAATACTATATCTTGCGGTTCATGTTTTTTTAAGTATACTGTGATACCCCAAAGGCTCAGTAAAAATATGTTAATGCCGGCCGCGCAAGCCGTGTCAAGCGGCATGGACATCGGGATATCCAGGCCTGTGGCTTCTTTGTTCATAAGCGGCCAAAATTCTCACTGTGTAAACCCTAAACCCTAAACGAAGAAGTTCGATAGTCAAGGCCGGTGCCAACTCGCCAGGGAGGAATTTGAGCGATGATGACGCAAAGCCCGTGCATCCATGTTCCTTCGGAGTGATTTACTATAGACATAAAGCACCCGAAACTTGAAAAGGGCAGGAGTCTCAAGTCTAAAGTAAACCCAAAACCCAAAATCCCAAAACCCTAAAGAGCTCTCGTACTGTTTTGCTGACTTGGTCCTTTTGGGTCGCACATGTGGTTAGGGGAGTGGTCTCTGCCAAGATGGTTTAGGGTTTAGGGTTTAAGTTTGTTTAGCCGTAGCCTCCGATTTGACTTTCTTCAGTTTCACCTAATCCCTCGCCCGGCAAGTCCCACTTGCGAGTGCTGAAACCCTAATCCCGTTCTAATTGCACTGGGGTAGTGATTGTCTAGTAGAACGTTTTCAGTTCGTGCATTTAACGAGACCAGAAGCTTCACCTTTTTCTGGCATGACTCTTGTCCATCGGGGAGTTTCCGAAAATTAGGGGTACCTCTTTTTTGGGGTCCTTATAATAAGGATCCTACTACTTGGGGTACTAAATTGGGGTCCCCTATTTTTGGAAACCCCCATCGGTCCGCTAAGCTCCTGCGGTACCCTGCTTCCTAAGCTCGGTCCCTCTCTAGCGCGGAAGCGGAGTGACGTCCCGGATCCTGAACTCCCAAATCCCTTACACCTACGGCTGATGATATACATCCTGCATGACCCACAATGAGGAATATACCATCGTTTCCAGAGTTTTGGGTCCTTCACGGTACTGCAGGATTTATATCATCAACCGTGGGATCTGTAAGCTGGTAAACCGTAAACTGGTAAACCTTCCCTGGAGAAGGAAGTTGGAAGTGCAGGTCAATAGCTGCGGAATGTGCTTCCTGGTAAATGCGGATCCAAACAAGTCGTTCGTGGAGTGTGCACCTGTTTTTGGGTTTAGTGATGTCAGGAGGTCGTGGTGGCTGGCGCTAGTATAGGGGCCTTAACAATTAGAATAGGGTGTTGGGTTTCTTTCTAGCATAATTACAATCAGAGCATTTATATTGGTAGTTATCCCGGCCTCTACATTATTCATGGGAGGGTCCAGTTTGGAGCTGGTCTGTGAGAGCAGTGTAAGTAAGCTCTGAGGGTAATCTGTTTTGCAACTACCACTGCCATACACAAATTGCCAAACCCGTGTATAAGCACCGAAGACGTATGGACCCCTTCCATGTGTCCTAGGTTAATGTGGTGGTAATACGGGATTCGGAACATTATACCAATCTAGTCGTTCTGATGATGTCAGAACCCCATTCAGATTGCTAAGGCCTCTGAATTATGGACTCCTTGTCTCGTGCAGCTTGCAGGAAGGCTTATCGTGTAGTTCTGTCCTGGGGAGCTGGAGCCGAAAACCCCTAAAAATGGGGCTTTGTATAGGACGTCAATAGCTTTCCCTCGACGCATCTATGATATAGTTCAAGACCTCCACAAGCCGCATGCTAGTTGTGAAGGCCCGTATACTCGGGCCTTTGGGCTTGCTAGGATGTGTCTCGTTATGGGCCACTCCAGCACGAGAGTACGCATGATCCAGGGCTGCTGCACCGCTCTTCCTCGGAGAAGCCCCCTGAATGAAGAACGCACAGATGCAGAAGACCAACTTAGCTGTATGGCTCAAGGTTCATATGCACTCCGATGCAAACTTCAAGTTGGACATCCCAAGACAGTCGCGAGCTTTTCGGGTTGCTCGTGCACGGCCACCATAAGACTATTAGCAGCACCTTCTGCAGAAACGGGCTATGCTGGTAGATCTAGTGCAGGGGCTAACTTGTTAGCAGGCCTTGCCAAACCTGTTTCACCCCGGCATTGAGCACCTTTGCTCCTGGCCGCTTTGCCTGTCACGTGAGAGCTTACAGGACTCAAGGTTTCTGCTCTGTAAATTTCGGCGTGTCATAGCACTACCAGTCACTAGCCCAAGAAACAAACCTAAACATCTAACCGCGCGCCCCAAGAAATCACAAAAGACTGATATCAAAATCCCTGCCTCCCGGCTTCTCTTCAAGACAACAGGGCTTTTGTAACTGTTGATTCCTTCTTTGGAGGCTGCGGTTTAGCACTCAGGGTTTTTAACGAGAGGGCTCCACGATAGGACTCTAGGGATACAGCTCTGTGACAAAGTCGTGCAAGACGATTCCGGACGATGAATACTACAGCCCAAACGGTCAAATGGAACCTCAAACCCCAATTAAAAGAATTTGGGTTGTCAAGGTGTACAGTCCTAGGACAATCCTGCAGCGATTGTAGGCAGACACGAACGACACCAGTGCGGGCAACAACAAGTAACGTGCAACAACGCATCCTTCCTTTTTCTTCGCCCTACAACTCCCAAAGCCTTAAACCCCGAATTTAAATCCTTCGCCAGGATCCGTGCCTGCCTTGAGCGAGTGCTCGTGTCTAAACCGTATAACCCCTAACCCTATAAATGCGGGCACGTCCTTGCTAAGTAGGAGGCAAAAAAACCTTATACGGTTAACTCCCTAAACAGCCCTGAACCCTAACCCCTAAACTTTATAGGGTTAACTCCCTAAACAGGCCTAGACCCTACAAGCCCTGGACATCCGGAGCCCGACAGCCGTGAGCCTTCCGTTTCCCCTTCGTCCTGGCCCAGGAGGGGACCTGAGTTATGGCAGAGAAGGAAAATGAGCCCACCAAGGCAGAGTCGGAAAGATGGGGTTTAGGGTTTAGGGCTTCCCAGCTGATTGGCAGAGTCTGGGTTCAAAAAAACGGAAGTCGGAAAGATGCTTTTTAGTAAGGGATCTAGAGATAAAGGAGCTTCAACAAGGCTCCTGTAAGGGCTGCACGAAGGTTCGGTAAGGATTCTCTATACTCTCGACGCTCTATGGGTGTGTTCATATTTTTTGGGCTCCGGGTTCAAGAACCCTACCTGATTGCTTCGGTGGTCAGCACCTGCACCCTACAGCCCAAAACCCTGTCTGCACCTTCTGGGCCTCAACCCAATGATCCCTTGAAAGCTGTTGTCTTCTTTCACTGCCATGCTTAGATGGCGCAAGGGCCAGCGCAGTATCATGAGAAAATAGGTTTTCAGGTTTGAGTTTCTGGAATTAGGCTCGGCTGAAGAGCCGGTTTGCATGCTCGAGTTTCGGAATCGGGGCTTATGATGCCGGCGATTGTGGCTTCTGTTTTGCCGAGTTGCGAATTGAGCAGCTCGGCAGCCTGTCCTGCAACGCCCTTCATACCATACAACTCACAAGCCAACAAGCCGAGCTAGACTCGAGTAGAAAGTCGCCATGAAGCATGCGCTCCTGTGTGGCGGTCTTAATTGCAAACGACCTGCAAAACCCACTGTCGCAAGACAGAGCCCGAAACGCTTATTCAACCCTATTCAGTTGTCCCGTTACCTCGCCTGCTTGCGAAAGAGAGTGCCGCAAAAGCCCTACGGCAATCCTTATGGAAGCATGCGGGCCTTGTCCTTGCGACGTATGAGGCAAAAATCGCGGTCAAGCTCACAGACCCCAACATCCCCCTTGATTAAGGGTCACTTGTTTCTCAGTCGCTGCGATAGGGTGCTTGGCCACTTGCTCTTTCCACTAGATCATTTTTGTTGTGTGTCTATATGTACAGAGATCACTCAATTAAGGGGCATTAAACCCCAAATCCAAACCATAGAAGTTGCAAGACCTATAAACCTAACCCTAAACCCTAAACCCTAAACCCTAAACCCTAAACCTAGTTGGGGTCTCTGCGAAGAGCCCCAACGGGTGAGTCCACAGATTCAGGCGGAGCCCGAGAAGGCGGGGAATGCTTCAGAAAAGGGAGTTTAGGGCTTAGGGGTTTAG